GACGAGGTTTCACCTTGTTGACCAGGATGGTCTCGATCTCTTGACCTCGTGATCCACCCGCCTCGGCCTCCCACAGTGCTGGGATTACAGGCTTGAGCCACCGCGCCCGGCCTTAGAGGACTTACCTTAAAAGATACACTTGTATAGGAAGCACACCTTTTATCAACCGTGCGTCAATTCGTGATGCCTTGGTGGGGAAGGGACTGCGATATTAAAGCCCCTTGAAGCCTCTTCTTGACACTGACAAGGACTTAAAAAATTGTTTCCCAACCACCTCGTCCGTGTGCCCTGCGTCAAGGAGGAGAGAGAGGCTACTCACACATATATCTTACTTCAAGGTCCATGAAGCTTCCTTCCATTGGTTATACTTCATCCCAAGTTTTGGTTCTAACCCTACTTACAGTGCCACAGTTTCCAAGTGCTTCATCTGAACTTAAAACATGGATTCAAATATAGGAAAAGGCCATAATGCCCTCAGGAAGGATAGTATCCTCAGAAGGGACATCCAGCTTATAAGTGCTGTAACACTAGAGTGTGACAGGAAGGAGCACTACCTACACTGCCGAAGGGCCATTCTTCTGCGCCCCATCAATCCACAGCTTTCCTTCTATTCTTCCACATCAGAAATATAAGATAAGAGCTCTTATCAGCCTCGAGGAACCTATAACATTAACACGAACCTCTGAGAGTCAGCTGACATTCTTGTAACATTCTAAATATTTATTTTATTCACATTGTAATCAAATACCTTCTCCTTCCACAGCCTGTTCTCCTACCCTACCTAAATGTGGCCTTTTTCATTCTATGCCCCCCAAAACTGCCAAAAAAAAAAAGAGAACACCAAATTCATGCATTTTAGATCCATTCTACTGTTCTCCATAAAGATCCTGACATTGACCACTTACTCAAAATATGTCACTTGTTCTTATCTATACTTTCCTTGCTACTGTTAGTGTTATCCAAAAAAAAAGGGCAAAATTATTATTTCTATTTTGTAGAGAGAAATAAAAGCAGTCTTGGGAAACTTAAAAGAGAATTTATCTTGTTCACTTTGTTTCACGCCTCCAGTAAAATCATTACAATCCAAAAGTGATACAGCTTAAGGAATCCAGAAAGCTGAGCAGCGAGCTCGAACAGCTGTGTATACGTTTGCATTCACCACGATGCTCTCATTCCTTAAGCAAAGTGTCATAATAGCAGCAAATCTGTCTGCCAACACAAAAGGGTATTATTAGGCCACAACTGTCCTGCTTCCCTGGATTTACAAAATTGTATTTTTTTATTTTCTCTATTTTCAGTTTTTCTGTAAGAAATAATTTCCATAGATTTCCATATAAATGAAAATCTCCCCCTTACCTTCCATAATCCAAACTCCATATATCAAGAGCCAATACAAAGCATTAAATGCTGAAAATAAAAGGAGAAAAATCTGCAACCATTTAGAAATGGCACACAAAAATTAAGAAGACTGCATAATGTAGTGTCTACAGTAACTTATGATTGCTTTTAATCATTTATTTATACCTCTTCCTACTTAGAAAGTGTTTTTAAATCCCCCACAGTTCTCTGAACACATTAGGTATTCACCATCAGAGCTGAACTGAATTTAGCAGGCAGAAAGGACTGTCCATAATCTATGCTATGAAATACATTCATTAACGTGGTCTACTTTAAATTTTGGCAAACTCTAAGAGGCTAAGAGCACCACATAAAAACATCAACCAAGCAGCATCAAGATGGCAGAGAGGAGGCAACACGCGAAGGCAGCTCCCAGCAAATGAGATGCAGAGGGCTAGAGGACTTCAGGATTCCAAATGAGGTGCCAGGCTCATTTCGGGGGTACTGGGAGGACTCTGAATATAGTCCAGGGAAGGAGCCAAAGCAAGGCGAGAGCCGCCGAGGGAGGATGAACCAAGACAGGGTGGGGCTCGTCCCCAACTGGAAGGTGCACCCGGCTCGGAGGGTCGGGGGGACTTCACTCATTCCGAGCTCCCATTCAGATCCTGTGCTTACCTCATCCCTGCTGCAACCCATGGTCCACAAGAGCCACACCAGACTGAGGGGTGCCATGGGCAATGCAAATCAGCAACAGCTCGTGCCTGGTGCCTTAAGTTGTCAGCGGGACATAGGCGGAAGTTTGGACTAATGCCAGCAGGCCCAAACAACTGGTCCCACAGAAAGAGGCAGAGTTGAAAGCAGGGAAACAGGTCATAAGGCCTGGCAGGCCACACCCCCAACAAAACTCAAACTGAAGCTGGGGCACCAGATTGCTTGGCAGCAAATACACCAATTTCACCCCAACCAGGAAGATAGAGCTCAGGGAAGACGGGGCTAATTTCACCTGCAAACAAACCCCAGGGGAAGACCACCCACCCAGCGAACGGACTGAATCTGAGGCAGCCCAGCAGCCCTCTACAGGCCAAAAAAGATATAGGTCCAACCGCAACAGAAAGGATGTCCACTCAGAGATTTCTCCTGAAATTACCAACTTAAAAGATCAAAGGGAGATAAATCCATGAAGATGGGGGAAAAAAAAAGTGCAAAAAGGATGAAACCATCAAAGACCAGAACACCTCTTCCCTTCCCAGGGATTACAACTCCTCACCATCAAGGGAACAAAACAAGGCAGAAAAAGAGTTTGACAAATTGACAGAAGCAGGCTGCAGAAGGTGGGTAATAACAAACTTCTGTGAGTTAACAGACCATGTTCTAACCCAACACAAAGAACTAAGAACCCTGAAAAAAGGTTAGACGAAATGCTAATTAGAATAACCAGCTTAGAGAAAAACATAAATGACCCAATGGAGCTGAAAAACACAACACGAGAACTTCACAAGGCATACACAAGTTTCAACAGCCCGCTGGTCCGAAGGTAGTGAGTTATCTCAATTGCTTGTTCACAATCAGTTACAGATCGAACTCCTTGTTCTACTCTTTCCCTCCTTCTCACTACTGCACTTGACTAGTCTTAAAAAAAAAAAAAAATGTTTCAATAG